TAATCTATCTAATCTATCTAATCTATCTAATCTATCTAATCTATCTATCTATCTATCTATCTATCTATCTATCTATGAAGTGTCTCTCTCACGCAAGTGTGGATTTGGTATTTTTCCGAGACTGGTTTTCTTGTAATTAATATAACTGGACCTTCCAAGGAGTGTCCAATGGAGATCCACCAGTAGTGTGAGAGCTTCCATTGGTGACCCTTCGACCTATACATTGACCCCAGGTGTACTAACCCCTGGGCTGATCGGAAGTCAGCTCTTACTTCTTGTGCCCACAATGACTACCAGGACCCTTCCACGCGTCAACTGCAATATAGAGGTCAAGCTCCGGGCAAGAACTGTTTGAATTGTAGTGAGTCAATGGGGGGAGGTCGCAGATCGGCCGACCAAAGTAGGGCATCACGAACCAAAGACGACAGTGGCCGCAAAATATGGTGCGTCCAAACTCGTGCAATCTCACAACCAGACTGTTCGACCTTCAACCTCACTTGTTCCTGCGCTCTTTCTACCGCCGAGAACACGCCGTAGCGCGTGAGATCTCATACTGTGGTGCTCTGGTGCCATGCCTTCCGAGTGGGGTGTTTGTTGGATCGGCCAGCCCCACATACCCCGGACCGTGCGCGAAAAAGCGGATGCAGCGGGCGCAAGAGTTGGACTCCCAATCCACCACGGGCATGCCCTTCATGCATGACTAATTCAGTCATGGACGCGACATTAAAGGTAAGTATACAGTAGACTCAGTAGACAAGAAAAGGCAAGGCTACCAGCTTCAACGAGAATGGTTTGAATCACGACTGGCCGAAGGGGATCTGGTGGGACAGGCTGATGTCTTTTTTTGTCCTTTTAGACTCCTTTTCTTGACCGAGACATTGCAGGGTGGGATTCTCTTCCATAAAATTGGTGGCTCCAAGACTAAGTAATTAAGCATGACTCTTTCACTGGTCCACTTGGACAAGTCGCGGGGCCTTCCTCTCAAGGGGAAGCGCAGGCAGCCACATCTGTCATTTTTAGAGGTCCTGATGATCATTGACGGCACACAGATCTATACCGAGGGAATTGCCGAGGCTTTAATCTTGACCGTTGTATTTATCGATGATCGCACCACAGTTAAACAAAAATATCATGATCATGTGTATAAACACTGATGCAAACACCTGTCGGACCCTCCAAGTCTGCAACCTCCACGAAGCGACGCCCGCGAAGCGAAGCGGTAGAGATGTCCAGTCCGGGCGATGGTGCCATCGGCGATGGTGCCATGGCACTCCGGTTTCAAGTGGATGGCACTTCGGATGGCGTCGTCTGCCAAGCTCACATGCCCCCTAAGGGGTGTCTAATCATAGCTCCTTAGAGGTTAAGGGGTGTCCATTAACAACCCCTTGGGGGTCCTGAGATATATGGGTTTCTGTTCCATGAGCTCGTCAGGTCGAGTGTATATGATGAAAGAATGTGAACTGTTAACCCTGCCCCCGGTTGACGGAGTGTCTTAAGTCTTAATACCCCGGTATGAGGTGTTCGTCCAGGACAACCACCCACACCTGGCTGACCAGTTTGCACCGTCCAACCCTCGCTGCCAAGACGTCTCAGACCTCACCTCCGGGAGGAGGGCGGAGTAGCGAGAGCCCGCCGACCCCCCGCGGGTCCGCGGTCCGCAGTTCGGATGGAAGAGCTTGAGGTGCATCCCGCGGGGCTTCCGGGGGGTCTTTGGTAGCAAAAGTGAGGGAAACCTATGAAAACCTTGAAACATAACAGAACACATGGGACTGACTTCTTCGACATTTTGGAGCTTGGGGCGAATCCTCTTTGGCACAGATCCGAGCTCGAACATCACAAGAACAACGTGATCACGCGATCTTCGGAAAGGTGGTGTTTCCAACGTGGGAGGCCAAAACAAGTTCCCGACTCTTTGGCAGATATCCAGAAATCCGAAGTCCTAAATGAATCTAAATGACTCATTTTACCTCCTAATCACTGGTGGATCATGATATCCTTACCAGGTGGTGTAGTTCATGACTCTTCCCACAGAGATCACAGATAGGACTCCATGATCTCCATGCCGTCCCTCATGCCGCACATTCGGCCGCAAAAACCAGTGCAGCACAAGTATCAAAGACCAATAACTTTCCCGTGATCAGGAAAAGAGTTTGCAGTACTCCCGCATCAGGGAAGGTAGGGTATGGAAATCACATCAATCATATCAATCTAGTTACACTCTGACTCACTAAAGTGGAAGTGGAATCATAGGCCCCTGAATAAACCATTTTGCTCTACGAAGAATCCGTGATGTCCACTTCCTATGTCCACTGCGTGACGGACAACGTGTGCGTTGGCGGTCCCTGCACTTTTGGAAGAATCCGTCCAACATGCTGCAGACAACGAAGATGACCGGGAACACATGCCGAATTCTGGCATATATCTATTTTACGCCAACCATCACCAGTTAACCTGTTAACCTGTTAACCTGTTAACCTGTTAACCTGTTGTTGTTGTTGTTGTTGTTGTTGTTGTTGTTGTTGTTGTTTGCGTTACATAAGGCATTTTGCGACGACCCCACACTGCTAGACTGCTAACGCTGAAACAGCCCTGAAGCATATCAAAGAAACACGTTACCCAAACGCTAAGCATCCCTCCTTTTTAGTGCTGATCTCCCATGCCATCCATGGTGTGCGGCAGTATGAGGTGGCGAACATGCCTCAATCACAGGTTTTGTTCCTGTCCTTGCATTATTGTATAACCGATATTTACGGAGCCGGTTGCAGATCCACACGCAAGGACGAGGTGGTGGAAGCGCCACACGCAAGCCAGAAAGTGCAGCTTCCCTCCTCCCAGGACGTGCGCCAGGGTGGTTGATGGATCTGGAACAAAACTGTCATCCAAGCAGGATCTACCGAGGTTTGGCAGGATCTTCCACTTTGAAGATGTTGTCTGAAAACAAAAAGACCTAGACTAAATGTAACGTCATGAAGGTGACCATGTTGAACGTAGTGCATCCTCCCGGCTTCAGCTAACTCAACCATCTTTCAGAAACCTACAACATGTCATGAAATCTCAGGACTTGCATGGGAATTCCATGGTCCTGGTTTCGCTGTTCGCATGTGTTGTTCGCTCGTGGCAGGAGAACCTGGATGTCCTCGGGAATGCGACTGGCAAGTTGCCTCATCTCAAGACTCCTTCCAATGAGGGCTTGGGAGGCCGATCTTGGAACCGGTGTGGCCAGGTTTTGGCTCCTGAACATGCGAATGACTTGACGATCTCCGCTCTGACGATCCAAGAAACATGGCCTCTTATACGATCTCGTTGGTTCCCCAAAGAACCGCAAAGCAGAAATCGGTACAAAACAAGACCCGGAAAAAGATTAGTTCCTTGTACATGCCTGTGCTCTTCCAACCCAAAAAAGAACCTCTTACAAGAGCGGGCGCTCGTCCACTTCCCTGGTACTCTGATCCCACGACCTGTTATCAGCCTTCAAGATCCGCTCTTGGTGTCTCTTGGTGCCTCCGATGGGTGTGAGTTGCTTGAAGTTGCTTGTGTGTCCTATATATCTTTGTGCGAGAAAAGCCACCGATTCCCAACATACCTAGCACTTCCAACGGGTGCCCTGTCTGGAGACCTGTAAGTAGGGTAGGGTAGTCTAGCCAGGACACCCAGACAGGATGACCCTGGTAGTCAATCAAACATGGGACGAAGATGGAGACCCAAGATGAACACCAATCATGTAGCCAAAACATTGTGAAGATCATCTTCTTCTATACCCTCAACTACTACTGGTAGGGTTTGGAATCGGTGACCCTAGAGGGTCTGAGACAGGAAGGTCTTCTGCAAGGGTCCAGTGTCATTGTATCTTCTTCTGAGAACGTCCATCGTTCGCAACGGCCGCCGTCTTCCGATGTTCGCAACTGCCGCCATGGGTCAAGCCTCAGGAACCCACCAATCTGTCGAAGCGGGATTGCTTGAGGAGGTGAGTAGTGAGTACGTACGAAACCAGAGAATGGTCTTCCTTGGGGCCAACAGCAGGCCATACGGGATGGCCGGATGCTCCTGGACCTGGACTTATTATATAGAATGCCATGCCGCGATGCCTGATGTTTGGTGTAGTTCGATTGTTGAAGGGTTCACATGAAACGACACAAAACGACATGGCATAGCATGACAATGACTTTAACTATGACATACTATGACTAAGAATATTGTTTCAAAAAAAAAAACAACACATTGTTCTTGACTTGATGTTGTCATGATTCCATAATATGATTTCTATCTTCTTTCAATCAAATGCGGATCCTGCTTTTTCCGACTCCTACCTTCCAACCGGAACATCCCTCAACAAATCAAATATCATGCACAGTTCCTCCCCTAGTTCCCCCGGTCCCATGGTTCTTCTTCGGTCGAAAGCGGATGAGACGTGAGGGGACCTCTCGCATTGGTTGCTGCAGCTCCGTGACGATCTCTTTCGACGCCTCGATGGGCCTCTCGGATGGGTCGATTGGGGGTCCACCATCCGGCCGGATGTCCTGCGACGTTCGGTTTCAGGGAAGACCAGTACCCAATAAGAGGTATCTGGACCCTATGGATCTTGGTTGCGAAAAAAGCTACTCTCGTTCTTTTTGGAGGCATGCAAGTGTTGCTCGGGAAAGGTTCCAGTTCCTACTGAAGAATCCGTAAAGTATCATCGGGCTCTGAATTTTGGTGCCAACTACAGCATTCTCTTAAGTTGGTTTCTCATGGATTCTCTCATGATTCGTGATGTCCTTCCCACGGCAAACGTCCGAGTGCACTTCCCACCGCATGTTCGAGTGCACAAGCGAACCAGTTTAGTGCGACGCATGTCCGCCATGCTGCGACGACTGAGGCAAGACTTGATGTTGAGCATCCTCATCGGAGGTCGGCATACCCTAAGGGTCCAGCAAAAAGAATACCTATATAATCATATATAATCCAACTTATGTAATCCTATTGTACAGTATTGTACATACTCACCTGCAAAATGGACCCTATGGGGTGGAGACGGTGGAGAGTTGGAATATGTTGGAATCAGAGTCAAGCCGACCCCAAAGTATCTCGCTAGGTGTGCATGACGCGACGTTTTTCACACCTGTCGCCATCATGGGGTCTGGGTCCAGGGATCCCGTTTCAAAGGGTTTTGGAGGTGCAGGTATATTCGGGTTGGAGGCCATCGCGTTCGTAGGTTGAAGGCCATCGCTCATCAACTCGGATGGCCGGAAGCCCTCGGATGGTCTTCCCTGGGCCGTCCAGCAAATCCGAGAAACGGATGGTCCTGGACGGCAGGGATGCTCTCCACGCCAGGACCATCCGAGTGGTCGTCGACTGGACCTCCATTGGGGGCGGTTCGACTGGTTCGACCCGGCATATCATATAGCTGGGTGAATCTGTATATAATGATTAAAAAGCCACCAGACAAAAAAAATAGACTTGCAAAAGCGAGAGGCCTGAGACGCCCATGCTGCTGCGGTGCAGGTGATTTTGATGCTCAATCAGTTGTCACCGAGCTTTCGACCAATTTCCTGGACAGCTGTCACGCCACTTGGGCGCAACGCCAGCGTGGAGGGATTCATCCATTTTCACATATTTTTACCAACTCGATTCGGGAACAAAATATAGTGTGAAAAGTGTTTAGCTTCCAAACTAATACCGATGGCCTCCAACCTAATAGCGATGGCCTCCAACCTACGAACGCGATGGCCTCCAACCTACGAACGCGATGGCCTCCAAAGCTATAAATTTTTATAGCTGGGAGCCAAACAACGAGTCTGGCACAACGAGCACCGGATGTCCAGCACCGTACTCACCGTTCATGAAGTAGCTCGGTCGGGACGGTAGCTGGGCTCGATGGGTTCACATCAAATGACCTCCTCCTCTGAGGTTTGGTGAGCCAGGGATGGGTGCCAGGGGGTTTGTGCCCACCTGAGGATAGCCTCAAGTCACCCTTTTTCGGCTCTTCTTCGGCGTGAAGAACTGTTTCAAAGCCCAAATCTCCGCCCCTTCACGCCTTGAAGGGTTGGACATGTGTTTCGCCGGTCTGGACATGAAGGGTTCACGACCGTTATCACACTCGACGGACGGACGGACGGACGGACGGTAGTGACATGTAGTGACGGAGTGAGGAGGCATTTTTATCCGACCCTTGTCTCAAGAGACACCAGAAGAGGACGGTTGTGCAGTGCATGTGTGCATGCATCTGACCCTTAACGAATTTTCCCGAATTCTAGACATCCAAACTGCTGTGGGACTGGAATCCGTTCAGTTCTAACACAGAATGAGCCCCCGTTCATGAGAATCAAATGAGACTGGCAATGGTTTCCTGAGTTAAAAGGGGGGTTGAATATAATCAAGAGTCTACCTTACTTCACTCCGTCAGCACACAGCGGCAAAGACGGCTGGCTCCTGTTTCCCACGACCTACTGAGTGTTCCCCCCAGCCAGCCAGTTCTTGAGTCCCAAACTGAACTTCTGTGGGGATTGGATCTGAAGGAAACTGTTTGGCCACACAAAGCCCGGACACTGACATGGGGTTCTTGATCCAGAAGCCACCAACATCACGCATTCATTGGTTCTCTATTTTGGGCGGAATAGAGTTTCGTTTGCAACCCACCATGCTTGGGTTTCGAAGGTGCTCCCCATGAGTGAATGTTTCTATTCTCGTGGGGGCAGCCGTAGACGGATTCAGGCCAGTTGATTCTGCACCCCGTGAGGAATACCCAAAAACATCCCAAAACATGATATAATTCAATGCTCGTCCATGTGGGACATGCCCTTTTCAGGGGGTCTAGGTTTTGCTTTGTCTCAGAATTGGGCACCTCTTGACAACCTGAGTAAGGCGATGGGAACTGAACTCGACCGTGTCGTCTTGATATGTCTCGAACCCATAGGTTTTTGGAGCCTTGCAGGACATCAGATGGTCTGGACTGTTAGGAGCTTAGGGGAAGGATCCACTTCAGAACAAGTGAGAAGCCGACCAGGAGAAGGGTGGAGAAACAACCCATATATGTAGACTAGATTACTGAAAGCCTCTTCATGTGAAAGGCTTTATTCATCAAGAGTCTACATCAACTGACCCAGACTCCACTTCAGGAGAAGGCGAGTGACAATGAGAAACCCACCGACGAGGAGGTCGAAGCCGAGCTCACAGTGTCCAGCAAGGCGACCAATCAGACGCCAGAGGTACCGATCCTTGGTACCACTCGATCCTTGAGGAAGATCAAGCGAAGAGTGAAACACTCGTTCAGCCCTGGGGCTCCAGTCGTACCGTATCGTTTCGAAGGTGGGACTGGGGGCCTGGGGGGCCAGGGTCGAGTCCTACCTTCTCAGGTACGGTACGACTGGAGCCCTGGGGCAGGTGGTTGTGAAGTACCAATTTCTTGAACTTTCTCGGACCCATTTCCCCAATGGGGCCACGTGCTTGTTGAAGTCGATCTCCCCAGCTCCGCACGGGAGGAGAGTTGGGGCTCAGCGATTTCTTCGACATATCAGGCAAGCATTTGGTTAAACAGAAATAGCCATGCGGAAATCTTGATTTACAGCAAACAGAAATCAACAAATCAATAAGTATTCGCAGCAGACAGGCAGACATACAAATGCTTATACACACCATATCCTTGAGCCTTCGAAGCCTTCGACCCACTTCATTCGCTTCAGAAAGATCACCGTCCGGTCGTAGTGACACCGGCAAGCCGAGGAAACGGAAGTCCTTTGTACCGAAGCTGTGGAGCAGCCCGGATGGCGTCGGACGGGACCCTCCGACCCGAAGAGGACGATGACCGACAGCGGGTGTGTCTTCGTCACTGGGTCCAACCACCTCCGTTTCGAAGATGGTTTGGGTGCCAGGGGGGTCTGTGCCCACCGAACCTGAGGAGATGGGCCAGGAGCCCTAGGGATTTTATAAGAACACCACCCCTCAAATTTGGAACTCCAGAAGGTTTGGATGTTGCAGCGTTCTTGTTTCGTCCCGGGGTGTTTTCATCGATGGACAATCCATCATCCCTGGGAGGATGCACCAGGGAATCTTCTCCAACATGTAAGAAACTCCCAATCAGTATGTTGTTCAACTTACCCTAAGGGTCCAGGACCATCCTGAGATATCCTGAGGATGTCCTTTGGCCCCAAAGACCATGTTCCGGAAGTACGTACTCACCTCCAAACCCCTTCTCAGGAGGTACCTGGACCCTGTGGCACTATGGGGTTAAATATCCTCGTTTCCTATGGCTCCAACGGCCCGAGGTCCTGTTTTTGCACTTCACAGACAGGGGCCAAGTCAACCCTTGGGGAACCACAGACCTCGGAACGACTGGAACCGCAGAAGGCGCCTCCATCAATATCTCCAATGACTCAGAGGGGTGTGTGCATCCATAAACAAAGTGCCTTGTCCCTTCCTGACACTGTGAGGGTCCTTTCTGGCGCCGAGCTGGGGAGAACGAACCCACTCCGTTGGATGGCCAGATCTTCGGATCGTGCGCTTGGAAAAGGCTCCGACGGACGGCGCCGTCCGGCGGACGGCGCCGTGTTCAAAGGGTCGACCGTTGAGACATGGTCATTCTTCCGTTTGGGGTCGAACGAGACACGGAGAACGACATGATGCACAGGATTACCGAACAAATGAACTCTGATTCCTTCAAGTTTTCCGGCATTTGTATTAAAAATGACTTATAATATATATATATATATATTAATATATCATGTTTGAGTTTGATGTTTTTTTGTGGGTTCCTTCAGATATATGGTGGGATGATCCGTCATGTCGAGGGATCTGACCCCGTCCACGGCTCCAAAATGGCGTCTTTTCATGGGCCACACAAAATGGTCATGAGGAGGGAATGATCCATTTCGATCCGGAAAGGCTGGAGTCGACCAAGTGCGATTGGTAAAGGCTTCAGGCGTTGCACACACAAACAATAGATGCATACTGTAACTATTGTTTAAGGTAAAAGTATGTATCCACACGTTCACATGCAATCACATGCAGTTTCAAAATTGCAACCTTGAGGCACTTTTACCGACTATGACTTGGCGCTGCAGGAGTGCAGAGTGCGTCCGAGGGTAGAATGGGAGTATTATTCAAATGCCGGATTCCTTTTCAAAACATGTCGATCTTTGTGGGTGTCTCTCCTAAAACATGTCTTCTTTCACCTTCCTTTTGGGGTCTTCCATAGACTACTCTGGACCCTACACTACTCGTGGATCTCCATTCCTTTGAATTCTTCAACCTCCATGTTTTGGGCCATGGGCAATGCTGGCGGAGCCTGGCTGAACCGCCCACCGAGGAGAAGCACGACGAGCGGGAAGCACACCGAGTCCGGAGGTTGTTCCTGGGCAGCGTGGAACGTCTAAAACAGGTCCACGCATCCACCGGCTTTGTCCCCATGGTCCATGCGGTCCCTGAGGCATGGTCGACCAGACCAGTCACTTGCTATGCTGCTATGCTGCGTTAAGAATATATAATCCTCCCTGTCTTCTTCGCTATGCTGCAGCTATGCTGTCCGCTAGTCCTTTTGATCTGGTAACAGTTGTGATACGCTCCTCGTGAACAGTTGTTTGCGGTTCGGTGTTTTGCACCACTTTGTTTGGTTGGTTAACTTAACCCCGCTCCGCGACGCGACTCTCTCTCACCAAATCTCAGCATCGCACAAGGCACGAAACAAGCAGGGAAGATCCAGAGCTTTCACAGTCAGGTGTGCTTCCTCAGATCTTGTAAATCCCTTTGCTAAGCCAAGCTCAAGCCCTTTTGAAGACAACGCCAACAAAATTTACATTCCTTTGATATACGCTGCACTTAATCGATCTACTGTACACTCCTTGTTGATAAAAACAAACAACAATTATTGAAAATATAATAAACAACATCAAATCAAGCCACACAACAAATCCAATTCCACGAATGATCCGCAAGGCAGCACGAAAGCTCACAGTCCCAAATCTGACCATCGGCTCATCAGAACGCCCCTAAGTACCAAATACATGATCACATATGCCATGGTTTTGTTGACGCTTGTTTAAACCGTCCTCAATACACTGCACCCAGCGAAACAAAGCCATACGCTGCAAAAGCTCTGTGAAAGTGTTTTGTCAAGGAAACAAACACTTGGTCTGTCGCGTTGAGGAAAGTAAACCTGCGTCACTTGACCTGGCGTCCATAGCCAAAACACATACAACATGCAGCTTAAACATTGGATGCTACATGTTCATTCCTATTGACTCGTTTTTGGCTTATGATATCAACTAATGGCTATCAGATGCCATCAGAGCTGTTGGAAACCCTATTGAAATCATTTGAAATCCAGTTGCTCCAGAAGTTGTGGATTTGGTGCTTCTACGACCTTCAGCAAAAGAACCAACATCGACAGTAGAATCATGAAGATCCTAACTCGGCGTAGAACGACAAATCCAGATGACTAACTCGGCGTGTGAGACAAAAAGCGAAAATTCCATTCGTCGAACCCCTCAGGTTCGCCACGCGTGATGGAAAACCCACGGGCATTCCCTGGAGATACAGGAGAGCCGGAGAGTGATGTTGCTGTACTGCGGGTACCGTCATGTGGTTGGGTAACCGGGATGCCCAGGTGCTAGCAAATTTTACCGGTGAATCGGTGAATCGCACGCCATGGGTGTCGCCAAACCCGTTTCAGTGCGTTTTGCGGTGTTTCGGTGCTCGATATGGGCCCATCGGAGTGCATGAGAGAAGGGTGATGTCTTCATCGCTGTCAGGCGAACCTTGTGGGCCATGGGGTGTTTGCAGAACTGGCATTGCTCATCAAAAGGATGTGCCTCTGTTTCGGGTAGCTTCCTTATGAATTCCTTTGAGTTGGTGCCAAAAGAAACCGTCACAGCTGGCGCCGGCGCCGGCGCGGGCACGTCTTTCCTGGCACGGCCTTGCGGCTGAAAGGATCGTGAAGAACTCGATCTTCGACTCGTTTTGCGCGCTAATGGTCCTGGCAAACTGCGTCTTCCTGGGCGCGGAGGTGCAAATGAGCCTCTTGGTTTCGATGGAAGACTCTTAGAAAGAAAAACACAAGATATAAATTATTAAGATACACGATAGAAGACGTCCAGCACCAGTTTGATGTTGAACACCTACGATTGACAGTATAAACAACAATTTAACATTTGAGGTGTATACGGTTTCGATTCTTTGATCGGTGAGATTTTGCCTGTCTTGAACCTGTGTTGGTCACTGGGCTTTGGTCCACCTGCAAAATTTGAGGTAGGGATTCAGCCGACTTGCATTAACCACCCTGGAACTAAAAAGGATTCATTTTTTGGTGAGCCTTTGGTAGGGCTCCTGGCCCATATATCTTCAGGTTCGGTGGGCACAGACTAGACCCCCAACCATCCCGCCCAGTCCCACCCAACCGAAAGCGGAGATAGTTGAAGCTCCAAGGATTCCACAATTGAAGAATCCAAAAAGACCAGCCCAGGTATGGGGTATGGTACCCCAGGTGTTCTGGGTCCTATCTACTATACAGTCACAAAAAAACAAATCCTCTCTATGGGCCGACTCAACCTCCGTCTCTTTCTTTTGCGGCTCCGTGCTCGGTCGCAGGGTGCGTGGAGCGACCACCAAACACGATGAGAAGCCCCGATTGGTCGTGGTCGGTCGTTGGTTGTTGGTCGATGGTCAAATCCTGTCGAGGTCGACCGTGCCATGAAAAACACCCGTCGGTTTGAGATCACGTATACAGTCTCCGTCACGGTCAGTTGAGACTCCGGTCTACGCTCGGTCACATCACGGCGTAGCGAAGCGACCGGTCGCGCGGATCGGATCAGTTGGCGACGATCTGCGCGGCTCCGTCGTCTTTTCCTGCGACGATCTGCGGGGGTTCTTCGTTTGCGTTCGAACACTCGAGGTATTGCCGATCCGATGTTGCCCACCTTTATGCGGGTCATGTCCTTTATGTTTACCTTCTGGTTCCTCCTGGACCGGTGGAGGGCGATGGGCGACCGCACGGCAGCCCGTTTCGGAAGGGTTTTCGAGCGCGGCTAAAAGGGGAGCAGCGTTGATTTCGTGGGAGATGGGGATGTGAGACGGCGAAGGTTCTGTTTTCTTTGCATATTGCGAGTGACAAATCAGCTTGTTGGTGACGCTTGTGGAAGATGTGTTTTCGCTGCAAGGATGGTGTCACGACTGGGCAGGAAAAGGTTTTTGTTTTATTTTTTTCTGGCAATGAAAGGTCCAGTAGGGGTAACCGGGTAAGCCTATGGCAGCCTAGCCGGTGGTCGTTTTGAATGGGGTGAATGCAGTTCGTTCTGTCTATGTTGTGGTCATGTTTTGCATCAATCACACACCTTCTAAGCACAGACATGACAGCCTTGGAGGAGCTCGTTTTGCGAGTGGCAGCTGATGGTTGCCAGTACTTCATTGGACCTGATTGGAGTCTTGGAGAAAAGGATGTTCTCATGTTGGAGCGTAGATGAGTCGGCGAGTCGGCCAGTCAGTGGATGTGTGAGGCAGGCCCTTTAACTATGTTTATAACACTTGTGCACCCTGCTTTTCGCAGAGAGGTGTGTATCTCTCATGCATCCAGACTTCAGTGTGTTTTGCCAAAGGTGTTTTCGTGCAAAATATAGGCAGCGGCAGATAGCTTGTTGTTTATCTCCCTTCTTCGGGGATAGAATTGAGATAGAAATGACGATTATTGAGTAAATCTAGACATAGATGATGTATTGAAACTTGTTTCCGAACACCTACAACACCTCAATTTATTTCAAGGATAATCGATGTTGCTTTACGGCGTGTTTTCAGGGGTTGTTTATTTGACGGCGTAGTGACATACCTATATTATGTAAGTCTCCATGCTTTGCAGGGAGTCTTACGTCACCCCATTCAGTAGGGGTTTTGAATGACAAGATCCAATCAATATCATTGACCACGAAGGATGTGCTTTGCAACGATCTCCAAGTTCCTTCTTGCCAGGAAGGCTGTGTGTTATCAGGTCCCGAATGGTGTGTTTGTATATATGATATCCTTTTTTTCCTCTCTCTCTCTCTTTACTCAATGCCATGGAGGTGACCTCAACAGCCAGGGTTTCATGGTTCTGAAAAAGGACTTTTCGACCCAAGGATGTGGAGCTGGTTGGACCTCCTCGTGGTGCTTTTGGGCTGAAAGCAGGGCAAAGTCGGGCCAGGGCGGGTCGGACATGGCGCTTGCGGATCTGAAGAGATGGCAGTCTGTGTGAAGACTCATGTGAGTTGCACCCGACCTCTCCAACAGGTCCTGAGTCACGAGTCACGATCCAGAAACCTCCACTCTGGAGGCGTGTTGGCTTCATGGTTGCCTTCGGCACAGGGCTTGACAATCGGTTCTTTGATGTGATTATATATGTGATTGTAATGAGCCAGGACCCTCCTGTCTGGGTGTCTATTTATAGCCCAGTTTATAGCCCCTTAGCCGTTGAGGAGTGTCCATTAACCACCCCGACTGGGGGTCCTGGAGGAGTAATGTTGAACAACAAGATCCGTGAAGTTGGAGGTATTCCCTTTGCGCTGGAAGAGATCGGGGACGTTGTTTCAAAGAGTCCAAGTGATGAAACAAAACAACGTCCCCAAGCGAACGGTAGAAGCATTCTTCGGTGCACATTGAAACACCTCTGACCTCTGAGTACACATACGAGTTGGATCAAACAGACGTATAGCCAAAGCCTCGGCTCTTATTAGTGATTCATTGGAAAGGAAAAATGGTGCAATGGCCTCCACCCTAGTAGCGATGGCCTCCACCTGAAAGCCTCGGCTCTTGTTAGTTATTGGAAAGGGAAAATGGTGAGTTTACTGGGCCAGGAAGGTGGGACTGGGCAAGCTGCTTCGAGAGCAGAGCTCAAGTATACCATCCTCAGAATTCCGATTTCGGCCAATCCCTATATGTTGGGTTTGTCGGCATACACACTTGGGAAGATGACGACATTGTCGTACCGGCAACAGGATAGGACCGGGCATCCCCGTTTTTCTTCCGAGGTTAACCTCCATTTGGGAGGTGGTGGGCGATATCGCCATGGCCGTCCAAGTGAACAACCAGACGCCCGAGCACTTCGGCATCGTCGAGTCGTCGAGGCGTCGGTGAGTTGAGCGAGCCACGGTCCGGTCGGGCTGGCTTCGTGGTTTGACCGAACGGTCATGGCATGTCTCAAAACAGGAGCCAATTGTGGGTATGGGTTTCCAGCATGTTTTCACCTATGACGCCTATATGATCTTAAGTTATTACATGCATATAATTGCGAGTGCCCTCTAAATGGGTTGTGTTTATAATCAAGGAAGGGGGGCGCGGCTAGAGACAAGTACTCCACGTTGAACAAATTGGTGAGACAAAATTTGCACTGTTGTGTCACAAAGCTTGGATGGCCGAAATGCACTTGGTTTGTTTTGCAAGCTTGCCTAATTGAGCTAAAAGTGTTGTTTCAGAGTGCAAAAGGATGGCGACCACAACCTGTACCTTTCTGAGCGCCGGCAGACATAATGTAGACGGTTGATAGATAAGCCCCCATTTGGATTGTAGAACCTTTGTATATAGAAGGGTCAATCATTGCCTGTAAGGTTGCCCATTGGTGTCTGTAAGGTGCTACTCTTGGGTTTTGGCATGAACACAGTTTTCCAGATATGACCATGAACGCATCAACCAGTAACGCGCTTTCAATCGGGCCACGCTGTCATTCGGGCCCGGGTGTTGACGGACCGGGATTCGTCCGGACCCCCGACCCGAGGATTCGGGGATTCGGGTCCGGTCCCTGAAGCCCTGGCTCCAAGGACCAGCGTGGGAGACGTGGGTGGAATGTCCAGCTTGAAAGCCTTCCGGATCATCCGCATTACGCGCGTCATCAAGGCCGCAACCGGATGGAGGGTCGTTAGTTCCGCCCCAGCGGCGCCTAAGATTGGTTAGTGCATGGGCCAAGTTTTTTGCTGTGAAGTTAAATTATTAAGTCGACTGATAATATGAACCAGTTGAAGTCACTGTCAACTATTTGTAATTACATGTAATTACTGTCCCTATATTGACTCAACTTCATCAACTTAAGTTCACTGTCCACACCAAGTCGATTTTTTGTGTCTCACCACGTGTGGCTATGACCTTAAAGGGTAGGGACGTTGTCACGCGTAGGGACGTGCAGCTCTTTGACAGAAGAACAGATTGTGTCGAGTATGCATAGGAGTGATATGTTTATCGGGTTAGTTTATCGCAAAGATTGTCTATATAAACAAAAATATACAGGATGTGTTTGCAAATCACCAAGCTAATCAACTAGGAAGCAGCAACCAATCTGGCAACCAGGGACTTTAGCTCTCCAGTCCTCTTTTTGGAGCGAGTGGATTTGCTAGAATAGTGGGTGTTCTTTGATTACTTCTTCACATGCTTTGTTCCTAGCTTTCTGTTTGCAAGGTTTTGCCAGTAGGACTATAAGCTCCCTGATTGGGTAGTTTTGGTGGGCTCGGGTGAAATCCTAGTCTTTGTCCCAGTGGTGAACTGCGTGTTCTCATCTACTATACCTACTTTCCAGGTCTTTCCGAGAGTTTTGGGTCAGTTCGAGATCAACTCTGAAACTGGATTTGTAGTGAACAAACTGACTTCACATTCACATGAACAGCCACATGTTGTCTATCTCTGCCACCGGCTGAGCCCCGCTTCGACTCATCCGGTCTGCCAGAAGACCGACCGATGCCAGTCGCGAAGCCAATCGACCGGTGTCATGGATCCTCTCATGAAAACCAGCAGAGGGTGCCACTGTGGCACTGCCTCCGAGTTTTCGTGACTTCTCTTGTTTCTAATAGCTTCTTGTTACTACTAGTAAGGCACCTGTTACTACTAGCGTGGCACTTGTTACTACTAGCGTGGCACTTGTTTCTAATAGCTTCTGAAGGTGCAAAACTGTTCGGTCTTTCCGCGCAAAACTGCCCAGTCGGCGCCAGCCCCCATTCCCAGTCGCCCAATCTCCCTCAGCAAAAAAACATGATTCGTCGAGGGTGTTCTTTCTCGACGCGTCGCCTGCCGAGAGAGGTTCTGTGACTATAGGACATCACTATAGGGTACGGTACCTGGGCTGTTTGTGGGCTAAAGAGTCGATCCTATCGAGTTCAAGCTGTGTGGGGTCCGCCAGCCCCATCCCCATCCAGCAAATCTTTTTGAAGTCATGATTCAGATGGTTTCTATATGGACACGCCTGTTGCATCCTGTTGCCAGGTGGTTCGCCTCATGCGCGTCTTTCGTTTCGTCATGGCCTTCCGCACCTTGATCGCCTCCATTGCCGAGACGCCCCTTGGGAAATGGTCGGAGGAGGGAGGTCCCGTGGGGGTCGGTACCATGAGAGCGGTGGAACCGGACACGACCCATATGGGACTGCCATAGGACTGCCGGGTTCAGACAGACCCCCAGTTAACCATCCCAATTGATCAGCATATATGGCAGTCCCATGGAGTGTTTGGGATCTAGTATGGCAAACCACTACCGTATATGATATTGATATGATATGGGTTAAACCACAAACAATGTCATGATGACATGGGTTCAACCATGTAAGACTACCACCCTGCTGTCCCGGTGAGGGATTGACCATGTAGACTTGTGATTACATTTCACCCCCCATATGAAAAAGCATTTCCCATTCAAATGCAGGGGGAGGCTATTTGTGAAGAGCCAAATCCCCCAAGCTTCCGAGCTTCCTCCACAACAACAGCTGGTCAGCGGAACCAGCGTTTGTCTCGGAAGGACTGGTCCAGCGTCGAGACTCCGTGGAGCAGGGGGGTATCTATTTGGAGCCCGTTCTGCCCCAAGCGCTAGTTACACAGAGTCTCTAGGGCTCCAGTCGTACCTTCTGAGAAGGTGTTTTGGGGTGGGTGTCAGGAGGGTCCAGATACCTTCTGAGGAGGAACTTGGAGGTGTAGGGAGTATGTTTAACATGTTGGTTCCAACATGTTCCATCAAAACGTTTACTGTCCAACATTTGCTGTCCTGATCGAAGTGATCTAAAAAGACAGGGACCGGAGTGGTGCAGGCAGGTTGCGTGCAGAGTAAAAGAGTCAATGAGTCAATGGAGGTGTTTCGTTTCGGGACTGCGGTGGGTGGCTGCCAGGAGGGTCCAGTCATATCTTCGTTTTGGAGGTACTTGGAGTCTCAGGGTGCAGAACCATTGAACACTTGGTTGGGTCAAACTAAAGTAGCTGGGTGTGTGGGTGCCATTGAACACTCTGTGCATGGATGACACCAACAACAATTGCCCGAAAGCGCGCCCTTCCGCTGAACGCGCTACTACGTAGCTTGACCAAGGTTTGAAGGAATTTGGCGCTAGGTCATGCAATACTTGTATGGGTGTCATCGCCTAATTTGTAAGTAGGTGTATTTTTTTATGATTGGTGTCAAGTCATTGAAGCATCATCATGTTTACTATTACTATCAATTAATTACTCTATATATATATATATGTATTATTGTATTGTTTAAAACACCATGTTGCTTGCTGCGGAAAAGTGTGCTTTATGTTCTATTTATACTTTTTATAAGAGCACCATGTGTTCATACAAGATCATAAAAAGCATTTGTGCTTTCTCTATCTCTCCCTCGATCGATCCCAGATCGATCTGGGTTGTGCCAAGGTTGAAGAGTCTTTTCTGGGCGCTGATGCTACTGGGAGTGGTCATCTACGTCTTTGCTGTGCTTTTCACGTCTCGTGGTGGAAGCACACAAAAAGGATCGGTATCAGCACCCGGAGCACATCTGTGTGTACTCTTGTAAGTATTTACACATCTATATAATACATATATACAATGTATAGTTGGTAGTTCAATCTATAGTTCTTTGTAGTTTGTGGAAGATGATCATCACCACTTTCCGAGCAAACTGTATCCAAGCAAAGTGAAGGACTTATGACACACGACAGCATGTATGCTAAGTCAGACTGCTGCCCTCATTTGGTTATAGACGGGGTTTGTCCCAGTAAGCCATCATCAGTCGGCAACAATTTTCCCCTAGGCCTCCAAGTACCCTCTGAGAAGGTGTTTGGGGGTGGGTGCCACGAGGGTCCAGTCATGCTATAGTAATCATCTATCCTTTGGGACCTTCTGGGTGGATATACCCAAAGTAAGACACCAGTTTCAAACGAAAACACCCGACTCACACGGTGGATGGGGTCTTTTTTGGGGGAGACCGCTCGTATCCGCTCGTCGGACCTGCGGCGAACAGGGCGATCCGTTCCCGAACTGAGATGGTTTCCGGGCCTCGCAGTCACAGAAAGGATGTTCAAGGCGAATCAAAGACTATGAGATGTGGACATGGTATATGTTGCGTATGTTGGTGTGCAAATGGCCAGCCCGGTTCACAAAAGTGTATGGGCCAAAATTGATACGATTTCCTGAAAGAAACTGCTTTCGGAGGTGTTCATGTTGATTTCGACTAAGATCAGGTGTTCCTCCAAGGCAGTGCCCAGACATTTCCGGGCATGTTCGATTTCCAGATAATCCACATGTCCATCCAGGCAAGCAGTGAACGACTACATCGCGGAACCTGACAATCCTATGCCGGAGCGATTGGAGGGTTGTGCTTTTGCAGACACTGAGCGGCCCGTGGACAGCCAGTGGATATGGAACCATCAACCTATAGAGGTACTTGATTTTGTTCGGGTCATGTCCTATGTTCTATGTAGGTACTTTGGAGAGTTCAGGAAGAAACCACTGGTCTGATCAACAAAACAGGTTTGAAACTGGCCTTTGGTGCTAGAGCACCCACACCTAGCGTCTGAGTGACAAGTATACTGCTCCGTCGACATAGAAAACTGACCTTCCCCAGACCATGTCACCATGTTCTTATTTGGGAGAGTGTGACCATGAGGATGTTGAATCAGCCAAACAACTCTAGTGCAAACATGTGTTTACGGGCTGTTCTTTTTTTGCCGCGCGCCAGGGACTTTTTTTCCACCTGTTTTCCGGCCAGGGACGAGGAGAGGTTCAAGGAACCCACAACCCCAAAACGAGTCAAAAGAGAACCCTAAAAAACCCTAAAAGATTCTTAAGGCAGGTCAGAAAAGAAACGTGAAACGGGTCAAAAAAGAGCCCTGCACCAAACAGTCAGAATAGAACCCAAAACAGCTTGGAAAAAAGAAACAACACATGCCCTTTGTTTACTTTGCGCCAAGTAATCCTCTCCGATCTGTCATTTCTCCAAACGCGCCCGGCACTCCGATCCGACCCCCCTTTTCTTCTCCATCCTCCGTCCTCCGAAAGACTAGCCCCTTGCCCACTGCAGCGTTCTTCACCGCTTGACGAGCACGGGCTCCTCTCCCGTTTGGCGTTGCGAGGGGAAGCATCCCACATCTCGGACATCGGCCGCGAAGAACTCCTGTTTGGGTTCCGTTCGGCCGCGCCCTCCGTTTTCAGTTCTTCTTTTTTTGGGGTGGGCGGTTGCCTAGGGGGTCTGTGCTCACCGAACCTGAGGATAGGTGCCCTGCCTATCCCCCAGGTATAGGGACAACCATCGCATGGAAAGTCTGATCGCGGCGGGGGGCAGGAAGAACTCCGAGTGTTGGCCGTGAAGTACTTTGGATCGCTCTGTCAGGGCCCTGAAAACTCGAACAAACACCGCGACACATCGCGACATGCAAGACGCTCGGGGGAGGAAAATCAAGGAAGCGGAGACGGAAAGAGCCGGGTCACTTTATTAGCTTCTTGCTCCTAGTAGCGATGCCAGGAGCCCCTAGTAGCGTCCTTGTTCCTAGTAGCGATGCCAGGAGCCCCTAGTAGCGTCCTTGTTCCTAGTAGCGAGGCCAGGA